ATGATGTGTTAATAATATCATTGGTTGTGGCGCAAAAGAAATGCTTCGAGTGCAATAAGAAGGGAGTAAGTAGCGGCAGAGGAAGAACGAGAGGCGATCGTCAGACATTAGAAGACTATTCAAGAAGAGAAAAGCTGCTATAAATATGTCGTTGGCGAATTCAACGCCGTTGTAGGCAAGAACTTCCGTGGAGATTGGAGGCACGGATCTTATAGCTCTAACGACAGGATCGAAAATGGGAAATTTCCTCTAAATTTTCTATATACGTACCGTTTTTTCCTGAAAATTCCATATCCGAAAAGCCACCAAAACGACGGTGGATCTAGGACGGCCGATTGCCCTAACACATACAAAAATATAATAGATCATGTTCTCACTAATCGACGCTGGAGTTTAGTTGATCTATCTGTGCTGCCTTCTTTCGACACCGGCTCGAACCACCACTCATTCAGCGCAGAAACACGACTTGGAAATCGGATATTTAAGCACGTTAGCACGACCCCGCACACCTCAGGACTCTCTCTTAATACATAGCGACACGAATCCGCCATTAGAGCTTACGATAGAAGTCTTGTTACGACTACCTAAGTACAGGACTGCTTAATTGTACAGACATCTCCGTCGTTCGCAGTCAGCTCGAAGTCCGAGGTTCAATGCTGCTGCAGTATCACTTTCAGAAAAAAAGAAGAGCACTAAAACAGGGCCTAACGCCAGCCACTGGAAAAAGTCTTTGCCAACGGAGCATGCCACATGGCTGTCAGAAATCGCTTTAGGCGTATGAAAAACTGAGTTGCTTGAGGCAACCGAAGAAAGAAAGATCGAGCATCGAGCGCTGCAAACGAGGTCTCATTGATGAAAGTTGTTATGTCGGCTTTCATGGAAAAGGAAAGAAGCATAAAAACATCTAGAATTTCTCTGGAAAGTATCGTTCGAGATTTCTACACTGAACTCTTCAGTTTGTCCACCTTTGCACTAAAATGCCCTATGCTGCTTGATGAATAACCTCCCTTTATCTTAGAATCAGAAGTGGCAAATGCGATACGAAGCACGAAGAAAGGAACAGCTACAGGCTAGGGTAATGTTCCTGCGGATTGCTCCTTTCTGGTAGTACAACACTTGACACCTTTCTTGCAGAGCAGATTAACCACTACTCCGAATCGAAAAGGACTACAGTACAGTGGACAGAACAGAGGAAAGAATCGAAACCCATCCTCGCATCCAAGAAAGGTCAAGGGAAGACACCCTCAACTATCGTCCCATCAGTCTTTTATCGGTAGTATTTAATTT